CCCCCCTAAATAGCTAGCAAAAAGTGCCGATACAATAGGTTCACGTGAACAAATTAACGTTTCACGCGGACATAAATCATGACGTTGCACGTGGGCAAGGGTCATTGATCATGTGAACAAAAAATTATGATTCACTTGGACAAAAATCATGAGGGTGCACGTGGACTAAATTTATGACGTGAACATGATTGACTTGTTCAAAATATATGTTTGATTAAGGTCTAGCGTTATAAAATTGTATAGAATGGTAGAATGATGTGAATTATACTGCAATAGAATATTTTAATTTACAGACACAAATATTGAAATAATACAACGCTTTAACCTTGAGTAAATTGCAATTAGCCGCAAGAATAACATCCCAGACAATTATTAAAATTTTCTTCTCGTTTTGAAAGATAGTTTTCAATACTTCAGCATTTGGAACACTTTTTTTATTGCCCTTCATATGTTTTCTTTCTTGATTTCCTCTTTGGCTTCGTTAACAGCGATCCACCAACGAATGGACCGCGAGTTTGTATTTGTTCCCGCAGGATTTTTGGATGATTCTCAATTTTTTTCTACAAATTATATAATCACATTCGCCAAAATTCCTTCTCTTGCTAGAGATTTTATTGGTACGGCAACTTTCGCTGTCAAAATTATAATGCGTAAGAAATGTAAATGAACTCATTTCGCATTATTGATCATCACATGGAGTAAGACCCAGTTTACATTATACCGGATTCGTGTGTATAGGTTTTTTGATGGCTATTTATACAAGTTGAGAGAGCTTTTCCGTTTTGGACTGTGGCAAAAAAACCATAAATTAATCTCTTATTCAGTTATAAGTTATAAGTTATATAAACTTGAATACGCTTGATAAATTTTTATTCTTTAAACATTTTTTACAGTGCAGATATTTAATCAAGCTTTACAGTTGATAATTTTATATCAAACAGGAGATCAAGCACTGCGTCCATCTAATCTTATATCAAATCATACCATTCATCTTTTGGGAGAGTGTCATATTCTCTGTATTAATCAAGACAATTGCTATGGTTACAACTACAGAGTGAGACCAAGCAACCTTTATACAGCCAACTGTCAGTTGAGCAACAGCACGGTGAAGATGAACAAAACAAAAATGAAGAATGGGCCATGGAATTTTTACGAAGACGTTTTGGTATGATTAGATTCATTCAACTGTATCGCGTTATAGAAAAAGAGCACAAAGGGCAGCTAGACTTTTAGATTAAAGTTGAAGACTTGCACTGAGCAGAAGCACACTTTTCAAGTATGATACTGCATTCAACAAATCTGACGCGAATTCGATGAAATCTGTATATTATATTGAGTAATTCAATTATTTCTTTCCAAGAAAACTTCCATTTCATTGTAAATTAGAGTTTCAATTTTGCCTCCATCATCCAATAATAGATAGAAAGGCTAGGAAAAATGCCACATAATATTCATCTTTGTCGTGGCGCCTTTGCCGCTTAATGATACATCATTATGATGTGTAATGATAACAACATTCTGCTAACAACATTCAGATATCTCCATGTACGTATTTCGAAGTTATAGTATAGTAAATCCAGGGGACATGACTTTTCCTTACAACTGGCTCCACTTCCCTATAGTTTCTGCTGCCTATAACTCATTCGACACTGGTCTGTCTCTTCAAAATAACTGATTTGACATTGCTCTACAACATAATTTGAAAAATATTTACCACGATATTTTTCTTTCTCATATAGGTAACTGAAGGTAAGCGAAAAATAAATACGCATTAAAAATTTGACTTTGCATTTAGGTAATCTCATTAGAATTAACAAGAGATTTACCAGTACTTTTTTTGTGCCGGTATTCCTACCGAAAGACCTAAATTTTTCTTGTTTTATATTTTCAACGGTAGATTATACCATGCCATGGCCATGCTCGGTTTGGCAATATTGAAAGATATAATAGGATCCTAATTAAAGAAAAGTATCATCCAATTCTTCAAGGACATGGAATTTCATCTGGTACAAAGATGATCGCACGTCTAACTACATGATAATCACCCTAAGCACATGCACATCTTCTATGTGCCAGAAATCGTTTAGAAGCAAACTCATTCTGGTGATCTCGTTGTCATGGCTTTCCACCTCATATTCCAGATCTAAAACCTATGGAGCACTTGTAGAACCGTTTTAACCGGAAGAGGGCGAGGCACAGACCCGCCAGCCAGGCTGACTTGAGGCAAGTGGTCAACGAATGCTGGCAAGGTATTGAACGTGGGACATTAAAAAACCTATGGAATCTATGCGAGCAAGAATAAAGGTCATTTCAAGAGCAAAAGAGAGGGAACTAAGCAATGACATGTAAATGCATGTTTGCACATTAAAATACGTAAAAATGAATATCATAACATCTCATAGTTGTTGTACAGCATGTATTTTTCTGTTTACTTGTTTACTTTTTTCTAGTTCACTTATCGGTAAGGTTTTCTGTAGAATATTAATATATGCTGCTGAAACAAAGAAATACAGTCACTGGACTCAAACTTTTGCCTCCTACTGTATATATATATATATACAGTAGGGGGCAAAAGTTTGAGTCCAGTCGTTGTAGAAGAAAAGTATCATCCAATTCTTCAAGGACATGGAATTTCATCTGGTACAAAGATGATCGCGCGTCTGATTACATGATAATCACCCTAAGCACATGGACACCTTCTATGTGCCAGAAATCTGTTAGAAGCAAACTCGTTCTGGTGATCTCGTTCTCATGGCTTTCTACCTCAAGTTCAAGATCTGAAACTTATGGTGCACTTGTAGGACCGTTTTAACCGGAGAGGGGCGACGCACACACCCACTAGCAAGGATGACTTGACGCAAGTGGTCAACGAATGCTGGCTGAGAGGTATTGAACGTGCAACATTAAAAAACCTATGGAATTTATGCTGGAAACAATAAAAGCCGTTTCAAGAGGAAAAAAGAGGGATACTACTGATATAAGAATTGACATGTAATGCATGTTTGCAAATTAACATAGCTTCGTTAAATGGATATCATAACATGCCATAGTTGTTGTACACGAAGTAGTTTTCAGTTTACGTATTTACTTTTTTCTAGTTCACTTATCGGTAAGGTTTTCTGTAGAATATTAATATAGGCTGCTAAAACAATGAAATACAGTTACTGGACTCAAACTTTTGCATATATAAATAAATATATATATATATATATATATATATATATATATATATATATATTTGTGCTTTTTTTTTTTTGCTCTTAATTGAGCCATGTTTCACTTGTGGATATATATATATTTAAGGTGTGTTTGTTCTTCTACACAAGTATGACCAACCGGGCAAGCAGAAAATTCTACTTGACCGCGGTGGGAATCGAACAAATCACAGTCGTTCCCAACTTGGCCTTGTAGCTCAGACGGTAGAGCATCGTTCTAGAAATGCGAAGGTCGCGGGTTCGATTCCCACCGCGGTCAAGTAGAATTTTCTGCTTGCCCGGTTGGTCATACTTGTGTAGAAGAACAAACACACCTTATATATATATAATTATATATATATAATATATATATATATTATATATATATATATATATTCCATTCCAAAATAATCGTTTTCGAAGGGAATCGTTTTCTACTTCAGGGGCTTCGATCGCTAGTATGATTTTCACAGAAAGCTCGTTATAACACATAAAGCGAATTATCTAGTCTAGTCGTTCACGTAAAAGATCTAGATGATAAATTAGAAAATACATTCTGGCTTAGAACTGTGAAGCCGAATGACTCTTTTTTCAAAAATACTGAAACGTCCACAGTTCCTAGCACGCTTTGCGATAGCCTGATAGATGTATCAAGAATAATTATATGATTATAAGCTAGGAATGTGTATTTTAGATATTGACGAATGCAAAAATAGAAAACACAACTGCAGCGAAAACGAAGTTTGCAGAAACACACCAGGTTCATACAATTGTCAGCGCCGAAACATACACTCAGGTGAATAATTTTAGCATTCGTTGTTATTGGTATAGTTGCAATAGAATTATTGAAAAATTTATCGTATATAATGGTACTAAAACAGTTTCATCTCGGATATATTCAGCGATATTCACCTTGCCTTTAGCAAATTATTAATTGCTAAATATCAGTAGAAAAGCAAGGTTAACCAAACCTGTGGGTAATATGCGCATTTAGCAAAGTAATTCCGTCATTTCTGTGCAGCATCATCCATGGAATCGCCGGCCGAGTGCAAATCGCGTAAGTTTCACAGACCAACACTATAAAGGAGCAAATCAACTAAAAAAGTTCAGTAAATTGTTAAATATTAATTCTAGGCGTCAGTCACTTAGGTATTCTATGGTGTAGTGATAACTAATTTGCACTAGTGGAATAAACATTTGAATTGGATCAAAATTAATAGCTGCATAAAGTTTCATGTTATAATTTTTGTCATCATAAAAATTTAAACCTCTGGAAACCCAATTTTGTGCTGCAATCTGAAGCATGGAAGGACAGTGTTCGGGTTAATGCAACGGTCGTGGTTGCAATTTCAATATCAGTGAGAAATTTATGACTCTCGAAAATGAATTCCAGAGTCTTATTGTAGCCTTATTTGTCATGAAATTTGTTGCTACATCTCATTGTGGCCTTATTTGTCATGAAATTTGTTGCTTCAAACAATAAACAATTTATCTGTTTTATTTGGAGGAATTAAATACTATTATAATTATACATTAGAAGTAGTAAGAGCAATTTTATTGGCTAATAGTTGACATATAAATCGCGCAATCACGCAAAATTCAGTTATTTGCTAGCAGATAACTGAATTACCTGCAAGTGAGCCTGTGGTGGTTAACAAGCGGTATTCATTTGAATGTATTTATGTATTAATAATTGATGTATTTTTAGATATTGCTATTAAATAAGGTTTTTGATTCGTTAATATTATGTTTACTATTTTGGAAATGTATAATAAAACAATAATTATTGAATTCAGTTTTTGTGATATGGAGAGTTGTCAAGGTCGAGGTAAATCGACCTTGATAACTCTGCATATCACAAAAAACTCATCCAATAATTGTGTATTATTATATACCACTTGTCAAATGATTGATTTCTGGCCATAAGCATTTTGGTAAAGGGATTGTTTTTGGTTTAAACTTCAACTGCTCTATTTTACTTTTCTTAAACACGCCATGCATGCTCGTATTACAATGGGATCGTTGATTGATAAAGATTTTACACAGTGTATGTAATATTCCCATTTGTTCCCGATATTCCTCGTTATTTCCCGATATTAACCCATTCTCCGGAATTCCACGCCCCCCGCTTTTAAAGATAGCCAACGATGAATGCTTCGTGTAAGTTTAAAATGAATTGTCGATTTTATACGGCGATGTCTTTCCGCCTGCCAAGTTTTCTTATTGTTGCAGTATTAAACACACTAGACTCATCTCTCAATACTTGTCGGTGTTAATTTACAATTATCCCTAACTATTATTATTTTCTCCTTTTTGTCCGGGTCAATTTCAAGTCATCTTGTATTCTTACTTCAACATTTGTGTTTAAGAAATCTTGAAAAATGAACCTGGTGACTTTCCACTAAAATTGAATAAATGGTTGCCACAATCTGACAAGGACTGGAATGTTTGTTGGCGTGCCTCAAGAGATGGATGGGGAGGTTCAACATTTCATTCTCAATGCGATGGGAAAGCACCGACATTGACGATTGTTAAAGTTGTCAAAGATAACAAGACTTTTATATTTGGTGGATATGCCACAGTTTCGTGGACTGATCCTGGTACGGAGAACGGTAAGACCTGATAATCATTAATTAATTTTTATCGAGTAATTATATAACATACCCAGAGGTGGATCCAGCACTAATTTGCATCACAAAACAAAGTGGTTATTTTTAACAATTTTCTTGTGTCTTGTAAATTAGTTCACTATAGTGCTGGATCCACCCCTGAACATACCCATTCGTTAGCAGCTTTAAAAAGAATGTTGTAAACCGGAAGTACAATACTAAACGAATAGGTGCGTGGCATTTACTACTTCTCTCAAAAAATATTTTAATGTAGGTTTTAATGATGATATTCTTTTAATAGAATGATTGTGTGGCATAATAGTTTTAGTGGGCAACACGTTTTTTAAATTGGATAAAAATTAATAACTGCATCAAATTTCATATGTTATCATTTTTGTCATCATAGAAATTTAAACCTATGGAAACCCAATTTTGTGCTGCAATCTGTGAACTGATGCATGGAAGCACAGTGTTCGGGTTAACGCCATCGTCGTCGTTGCAATTTCAATATCAGCGAGAACTTTATGACTTTAAATTCTCCAAAATGAATTTCAGATTCTTATTGTAGCCTTATTTGTCATGAAATTTGTTGCCAGAAACAATATACAATTTATCTGTTTTATTTGGAGGAATTTCACATGTCATAGTTTTGTGTTCGTATCGTCTCATTGGTCAAGAGCGACCGTAGCGTCTCATTGGTCAAGACGAATTTTGATAACGGCAGTGTGACCCGCCGTAGAGGAAAATTACCTGGAAATAAAAACTTTAGTTACGTGCGGTGCACCTGGCCGTGCGACCTTTAGACTGTTTATCCATTTGAAATGATGTCTTTCGGTACGATGCGGTTGAAGGGGAAAACAGGCTTAAGTGTTAATTCAAACACGGATTAAACCACTATACTATAGCACGTACCACCTTAGTTCAAACATTTTAAGTTTATAGCTAGGTTTTAAATTGTTTCTCTTTCGCAATCCAATCATGAAGTGAAAACCTTTTTTTTTGTTTTTGATAAATGTTTCCTGATGACTTTCATTGGATCTGTGATTATCACTTTTCTTTCGAATCCCCTATAAACCTTTATAATTATATACACCCACATTAAAATAATTGTATATTTGTATGTTACATATTTTGCGCATAATTAATTTTACACCCTTAACATGCAAGGATTTGTTTACTTCGTATTATGAAAATATACTTAGAGTGTGTCTTGTTAATTATGCAAAAATTTAAACAGTTTATTCATCTAAATATTTTAATGTCCATCATTGCAGAAATCTGAGATAATAATATTTAATAAGAATTTACTGCGTATTTTACAGACTACCATAAATCTGATCCAAGTTCCTTTTTGTTTTCTCTTCGAAATAATGACGACCTCCCTCCATTCAAGTCTTTATATGTGAATGCTGGGTATGGAATTTACCGATATAATGGATTCGGGCCAACATTTGGTGGCGGCCATGATCTCTATATTTCAAACAACGCAGGAAGCACCGCTTCTTCCTACTCCAAGCTTGGCCACACTTACCAAACTCCACCTGGTTACACATTCAACCAACCGAACACGAGATCCCTCCTTGCAGGAAGCTATTATTTTACTCCATCTGAGGTTGAAGTCCTGTATTGAATCTGGTTAACGCTTCATGTTTAATCACGATGTAAGTATGAAATAAATACAACTACCTTTACCTGAATCGTTCGAACTTGAAAAATGAGCATTTACTCTAAATGTTTCTCAAAATGTAGATCACAGATTCGTATAACTGCCCATTTTTCTCAATAACAATATTCAAAGCTTTGAAAATCAAGTTAATATATTATGTAAAATCTTTTCGTCTGAAATCGAACATTTATTATCATTATATCTTTATAATATTATATTTTTGTTTTGGTGATAATGATGTACCGGAAAATTTTTAACGACTGCGATTTGTTGGTTTGTGCAGCTAATGCCAAGCAATAGTGCAAAAATGTATCAGTAACAGAACTCAGCGGAGTGTATTTTTTTCTGTAACGAGAGTGGAAAATTTCGTACCAAATTTATCGAGAGCATAAAAAAGATAAACATAGAATGTGTGCTGATCAAAAATACTCGTGCCGATGAATATCAAATCTGGCAAAAAAAATTATTCAAAGATCGAACTTTTGGGCAGGCAAATAAAATATTTAGTATAATGTTACATAAACACAACAGCCTATAGCTTAAAACTATCAGGAAATAATATTCCTGTATGTTTGCGTGGTTACAACTGACATCAATAAGTGAATTAACTGATGTAGCTAGTAGGTACTCGACGCAAGTGACGTAATGACTTACGTGGTGCAACTACAAGCTAATTTACTTAACATCACGAAACTTTAATAGATTAAGTGTTTTCTGTTACCTCAAGTTACAATGGAATACGTAAGAAAAGAATATAAAATTGTAAAGAAAACTTAAGCAATGTTTGAGTATAAAAAAATTACGACGTTTTAAATTGCATTTCATGCAATGTCTGGTATGTTAAAAATCTCAAAAACAAGGTCTTTTCACCTCATGGGTCTAGCTCGTTGGGACCGGGCTTAAAAGCTCTTCAGGGCTGCACTTAAAAAAATGTCCTTGAATGTCTCGCAATCAATGCCTATTATTTCTACGACAAAGAGCCCATCAGGTTAAAGCCATGTGTGAACATATTTTGAGAGTTATGAGTCCCTGGGAATTCTAGTGAAAAACAACAAACATGGCTGGTTATAAGTTTGGTTGAAAAGAGATTGACTACATCATGATAAATATATGGAAGGAATACTCTGTTCGTCACTTTTTTAACGAAAACAAACTCTTGAGTATAATTTTTTGTGCCCCTATACTGGTGTACAATAGGTATGCCTATATCTGCTGTCATCTCCAGCATCGCTGTCATTTCGTGTCAAAGCGCGGACTTATCTTCCCTAAATGCAAAAACTCTCGGTACGACGCTACCAGTATAATTGATATTTTGCTACCTGAATAGCAGGACAAAAGTAATTTTATATATAAGCGTATCAATTATAAAGCTAGAACATTTGGGGCTTTTTACTTTAAGCAAAGTTCCGAGCTAATAATCAATAACTGGTATAAAATGCATTCTTCCTGTTATTTTTCTTTTTATTAGGTGCCAAAATGTTTGTAGCAAGAGAACCACGGGCCAAGTTTATAACCACAAAATATCATTGGGGTTCATAATTATTATTTCACATTAGAGAAAGGCTATTGAGGGTAGAATAAAGCAAAGCGCAAATTTAAATCCAGTGTCCAGGTCACATGCATGCAATAATTTGGCTTCGCTTAAAACGAAAATGTCAAATCCTATATTATCGGTATATTTTTTATTTACTAGTGTCTTGTGCATCATTTTTGCATTCTGAAACGCAAAATGTTTAAATGTTTTTTCTAAATTTCCGTGGCCAGTTGCTGAAAAAATAATAACTCTGGCGATTACTTTCACTATAATTTATATTGCATTATTAACCATATATCACAACACATTGGATTATTGTTTCTCTGATTCAAATAAGACAACATTTTCACTCGGACGGCTAAGTTTTAGCGTTTGATTTTTTCCTGCAATGTTGCGTCCGTTCCTTGCTGATGTTGTATGTGCTGGGCAATACTCTCTCTATAGTGTCTTTCAAAATCTTTTATAAGAAGCATAGGAGTAGATCTTGTTTTTATCGTGTAATATTTCTGTGATGATTAAAATATTGTAGCTTAGACTATATATATCACGTGTTACCGGCCTCTGCACTGCTTCTAATTTCAAAGTGAATCAAAATTTTGCGTATGTAGCTTTGATTATAATTATTACAGAGCTGAGGCGGCGACTTTTTCTTGTTTTAAATTTGTGCGAGTTTCACTTCAAGTGAAAAAATGTTTTAAATTATAGTTAGTTAATAGAATAGAATATTGATTAGTTGTTTGAGATAAGGAACGTTTTGGAATGTATATGAAACACGTGAATACGTTTTTACATGATATTTAACACCAAGTTTTGAATGTATATGAAACACCTGAATACGTTTTTACATGATATTTAACACCAAGTTTTGAATAAAATTAATTATGATGTGTTGAAATATTGTGTTTATGATAGCTGTAACAACTTCACAACAATGAAATAAACAGGCTTAAGAGTATGCGGTCTGAAAAAATCTGGTCAGGCATAAGATAAAAAGGATTTTGAACATATTTTCCTATCCCCGGCAATAGATATACTTGCAGAAACCTTTCACCATTGCCTCTCAGAGAGCTAATATCTGTCTAGTAGAGAGCCAATCAGATTGCACATTAGCTCATTCCAGCGCTTGTGTATAAATGAATCATATATTCATGGTCGTACAACCATAGAGACAAAAGCAAACAAAAAAAAATCAGTCAGGCAGTCATGAATATGCACCCCACAATCACTATTAAGCTCTCGCGGCGGCCTTGTTCCAATCTATCCAATTATGTATGAATAAACCAATTTTATTGATGTATCGAAATAATATTCATTTTCAGAGGGCGACTATAATTTCGCCCTGTTTAAATCAACAGCACAGTCTGATACACGTCCTGGTTCGTTTTTCTTATCACACTACGCGATGGATGGCTTCATACCTGATTCCTGTGAAGATATACCTCCGCGGTTGTGGGGTCTGCTCGTCTAGATACAACTAACGACCAACTTGTGCTAGAGTTAAAGTTCAAGAATAGCAAAACTCAAGAGGTCGCATTCATAAGAATTTGCATGGTCGAGGCGAGACGTGAGACATAGTCCATCCAGGATGGCGCCAAAGTCTAAAATCGAATGACATGAAAAACCACGCGGGACACCATGCGAGTCAGAATTGGAATGTGTTCTCCTTCGTTGAGCGCAATAATTTATTTCATTAGATATTTGCTCAAACTCGCATATTTTTGTTTACATGATTTAGTGGTATTCCAATTCTTGCCATAATCTGCATTTATAAACAGTTGTAGTATCTATTATGATTCGGCCTTTCGTCGTGTGAATATATTATAGACACACTATAGTTGGACGATTGATTTTAAATTCAGTAATGCGATAAATCACAATAAGCATGCATGGTGTAATGGTTACTGTTGTTATGATGTCTAAACTCTAAGCATCGGTACACAAATTCCTAACCCAAACTCCGAGTCATAATAACTATGAATACCAAGAAGATAAGAACTTACCTTCACTGCATGACTTCGCTATCTGACAATGAAGCATTTTATTGAGCTGGTACAAAACTTGACAACCACGGGGTAAGCGAATGACCACAAGATTTTTGACTTAACGGTTCACGTTTTTTTAGTTATTTCTTCAACTCACAGCAAATAATAGTTGGTGTTTATCATCAGTCCGATGATTTAATGACACTTTTCCGTCGGGTTTAAAGAATCAACAAAAGTATTTACAAAAATACATTTAAACAAACTTTAGTGCATGTATAGTCGTTGGATCAGCTCAAAACAGATCTATACGGGGGGGCGATCCAGTAACTATCTACAGTGTTCAGTATGATTCGTTCTTTTAGAAATCAATTTCTGTAGTTCATTGTTTTTATTGTTATCATCAACCAATAGCAAAGCTTGTTCATATGGGTACGTACCGTACCGTCCAGGGCGATCAAATTGAACAACTGTTAATTTATGCAAAGCCAGTATGTTGGATAATTATTAGCCCGATTTATACTAGAGACGGATTTTTCGTCTGGACGAACTTGGGCAAGCAAAAGAGAGTTCGTCTTCTAGTTCTTCTGTGTGTAAACACGGGCATACAGACGTATCGTCCGTCAACACGAATTATCGGCATAGTTTGTCTCTTATAAGGCAAATTCAAGTGGGTAGTTCGCCTCGACGCATCATCCGTCTGTTAGTCAGTTAGTGCAAATACGGGGCTGAGAGAATTACGAAAAATTCATCATAAACGGCTCTTGTGCACTCTGTTTACCACACAATATTCTAGTTATAAAAATTGAAGTTCTGTTGTTCTTAATCTAATTCACCGTTCAGACTAGAAATTTTGTCCATAATTTTTATTTTCAATATCGAACATTGATATTTATCAATGATTAGTTACTGGAGTTACCATTTATCCGGTTATCCGGCTATCCGGTTACCCGGCTATCCGGTTTTCCGTGTTTTCTACCATGCCACGCTCGATTTTGTTTCGTCTACAGTGTTTTCGAGATAGCTCGTGTGATCTCTCAGACGGTTTCATTCGTTCAGATGGATAATCCGTCTCATGGCTTTTTCCCAGAGTTACATGTAACATAAATAACAAAAAATGGAATTTCTCGTTCATTGTATGGTCAGCACGTGCGTTGTTTATTTGTGTAAACAAAACACTCACAACAGTCTCTAACTCTTAATCAAAGCACGACAACATTATGCACTGAAAGTCAGTAAATCATTTAACTGGAGAACTTTTACGAAAAAGGGGGAAAGTGAGTTTTCCATTGTGTGTGATGGGTATAATTTTATAAGTATTGGGAATAAGTGACGTCGCCAGCATCGATAAATGGGTCATTATTTATTTTTTTTATGGTGCTTATAATCGGGCGTATCTGTATTAGACTGTGTAAGTTTGTTGATAAAATAAAAACAATCTCCATATTATA